TACATTTATGCACCTCTCCATTACAGAATACGTCTACATAGTCAAAAAGAAGTTTTGGTTCAAAGGTTAATATTTCCACTTTCACTTACAGTCTAAGCCTTAGAAACAAGAGTGTGTCTGCTGCTGTTTCAGCATTAATCAACTCTGGGGAGTAAGACCAAAAACAAAAAAAAAACAAAAAAAAAAACCAAAACAAAAAAAAACCCAGCATACACATGCACTAAGAGAAGTATCCAGCCTATAGCCTCTGGATTGTACCCAGCCCATAAGAGCTATTTATCCAGCTGAACCCTTACTCTGGAAGTCAGGAGATGAGGCAGAGAGCTGGGCATGAGCTAGATTAATTGCTCCAGACAAATTATTCTAGACATCTGCTCATCAAAAGCTGCCAAAGGATCCCCACTTTCCTCCCATCCCCCATCATATCACTTGAGTCCTGTCCATCATATGACCACAAAGCCACAGAAAATACATCTTGACTACATATAAAAGCACATATGCGTGTTGCCCACATGAAAATGTTTCTTGTAAACTTGCCAGGTACATGCCAATCACATATTATCCTACTAAGGAGAGGAGTGCACGCCTACATGGCAGTGAAGTTTAACCCTTCAGTTCCTCCATTAGATGCTATGTGGCTTACTCAAGACAACATAACACTTAACTGTCTTCAAAAAATAGAAATTTCAGAATTACAATCTACTTGTGACTGAGTTTAATGAAATTATTCCATTGAAAAGGGTCTTCTGAGTCTGAACTGTTTTTTTCCAAGTTTCACACTCTTTTAAAAACAACTAAGGTTGAAGCTTATGTTAACAGTGTTTAGGAGCCTGTTTTTTGAAGACTACCTTTCAGTAGCATTCTTCATCTCCAAAACTGGGTAGGTATTAACTGTATCCCAGATGAAACCAGGACATCTTTAAAAATAAACTTCATAGGAATACAGTGAGAAGGAAATCGTGCAGAAGCATAAAAATAGACACAGAAGTCCAATAACAAACTATAAATCATTCATTTCCATCACACACTGACTTGCACGACATTTCTGCTCTTACTAAAGAAAGTAGTTCAGAACATTAGGGACAGGTTCACAGAATCACTAGGGTGGAAAGGAGCTCTGGAGATCATCTAGTCCAACCGCGCTGCTAAGGCAGGGCCACCTACAGCAGGTTACACAGGAACGTGCCCAGAAGGCTGTTGAATGTCTCCAGAGAGGGAGACTCCACAACCTCCCTGGGCAGCCTGTTCCAGTGCTCTGACACTCTCAATGTAAAGAAATTCCTTCTAACCTGAAAGCATTTTAACTTGTTCCAAAGACAACAAAATCACATGAGACCATGGTGTAAGTCATCTGTCTTGGCTTAGACAGACTCCAGTATGGTCTCACTGTGTGTGACAGAAGGGATGAGTGAGGCTGTCCAAGTTCCTTGTGAACTCAAGGCAGACCTAAAGCAAGCTTGGACATTACTCATGGGATGTCTACTGCAGAACTGCACTCTTTACGGTGACACATTAAGTTTGTAGCAGAAAGTTATAGGCAACAAGAAGAAAGTTGAAGTGAGACAGGGAGAGGAGGAGGGTAAAGAGACGTTGCATAAGACCATGGCTAAAACCAAATCAAGTGATAGAGGGGGACACCTGCATATACAGGCACTACAGGCTCGCTCCTGCCACCCCCAACCAATTTTTTGTTGGAGTTAATAAAGTTCAGATTACTTAGCTAGTCTCCAAAATTCTTTTAATGCTTACTGTAATCAATACATTGATCCATCACCCATCATGAAGCTTCAAAAAATTAAATACAATTACACAAATGAATAACCTAGAAAAGAATATAATCCACATTTGCTACAGTAAAGATGTACTGGTTGCGGTGAATATACAATATGAATTAATATGTCCCAAATCATTTGATCGTAACAAGAAGAGTTGCCTTTGATCCCAGACAACTGGAAAAGTGTTTCTTATCAAAAAGAAAACACCACCACACCACCAAGAATTGTAATTAACGTGAGTAATATATGAACTGATTCAGTATAGAAAACCCACTTTAATTCTATGGTCATAAATCAGTCACATACATGTTAAAAAAGGACTTCCAATTATGTGCAATTTATCTTTATTTTACCAAAATGTACTATTAATATACCTAAATTTCTAGTACTATCGAATAGTAAAATCCCTATGTTCTATAGGGAACCCAGTTTCACAGACCAACTTGCTCCATCCCAGAAGCCTTCTAGGACAATCCAACCACGTTACTTGAGGTAAAAAATAAATAAAATTAAAAAGCTAGTGCATGTAACCACCCAGTAAATAATGCAAAAACAAAGCCCACAAAATTAAGCCCTTAAAAAGTATACTTTCACCTTGTTTGGTTTCCTTAACAGCCTCAACTGCTCTGGATGTTTTGTTTTCAGGGCACCTACACAGATGGGACCTCAACCATGAAAAGCCAGTGCAACCTTCTGTATGCCAGTTCAAGGCAGGCAAAAGTACAGGACTACGAGGTGTAAGAGAGGGATCTCTCCCCCTCCAATTTTAGAAGATCCAAAGCAGGTTGCAAATGGTGAGACATGCACCAGAAAAAAAAAAAACATGGTCCAGGTATCTGATCATCTTTTTTCCCAATTTACACACATTTCCCTCATGGGCTAAGTAAAAATTTTGAATTTTGGAATACTGACAAATTTACCAGACTAGTCAAAGTCTCTCTGAAAAGTTTCAAGTTTAACATAAAACTTTCCCTTGAGCTCTGGCAATTGTATTGCTAACAAGAGAGTTGCTAGTACAATAGTGGCAATGTACTACAGACTGTTTTTTAAACATAAACTGGGTTAATATTTCAAACCCTATCATTTAGCTATGGAGATGAAACTTGTAAGAAACAATGATCACGGATTACATGCTACAGGCAGGCTATTGTCCTACATTCTTTGCACCACAAATTCATAGGGAAAATGAGATTCTGTTAGCTCTGGTATATCAGCACAGATTAGACAGTATATGTGCAGGGGGAAAAAAAAAGTCAGATTCATAATAAGGCATAAGAAAATTCTATATTAGTCTTTCATAAGCAAAACTAAACATTTTAAGGAAAGGACTATATTATATGTTAGGTTGGAAAGCAGAGTCTAACATGCATATAAACTTCTAACAAATTAGAACAAGTTAGCTTCTGTTCTGTGCAGCAGGAGACCAGAACAGAAGTTATCCTCTACTTATGGAAAGGACTGCATGGTAGCTAAGTTATTATAACAGTATCCGTGTTCTCACCGTGTACTCCTGTCCTGGAAGAGCAAAGACTCAAGTCTTAGCATAGGCATAATTGAAGAAAAAGCCGTTAAAAAAACCAACAAACAAATCCGAACAAACCAACCAGCAAACACACACAAGCGTTCAACGTACAATCAACATTATTACTCACTCACATGCTCACAACATTAATATGTAACCCTTCAAGATTTCTCCTTGAGGGCTTTCAAAATCCCCAAATCTGTAAGCACACGACTACTTTTATCACAGAATAATTAATTAAGCAGTGGAATGGAACTATTCACTTCACATTTTACCAAGCTCTCAATTTGGATGTATTCTGTTGTTGCTGCTGTTAAAAAACAAAAAAAAAAGGGGGGTGGGGAGGGGGAGCGTAGGGGAAGAAATAGAAAGAAGAGTTTTTCCAAAACATGTACAAGCGGCTAAGCATGATACAAGACTGACACAGCAATTCTGACCATGAACCAAAACAATTTTTTAAGCCTCTATAGTTGCTACCTGAGAAAACTACTATTTTTTCCTTTTGCTTTACTCAAATCTTCTAAATAAACCTAGGATGAAACTGCTTGTATTCCTATGGACTCAAGTGAAACCTGACTATCACCAAAAGCAGTATTTATTAACTCTCCTCAGGAGTGCATGCGATACTAAACTGCATGCTGTACAATTAAGAAGTTAACACAAACTAATGGCACTAATACCTCTTTGTACACAGCCAACTCCACGCTACCATAAACATACTTTTTCTTGTTCCCAGAGTGATGAGTAACACACTCTTCAGGAGCACATCCATGCTTTTAAGCAGAAATGGGAGCTAACAGAACAACACAGCCAGGAGATTGAAAGCAGTAGCACTCTATGGTAGGACAGCAAAGAAGCGAAAGAAAAATGAAAGTGGGAGGACAGCAGCTGAGCAGCAATAGCAAATGGAAGGGGTGGGAAGGCAAAAAAAAGAGCAGATGAATAGGAAAGGAGACAAATGAGATATGAAAGAGACAGAAGACAAAATTACCAAGAGTCAGTCTAAAACAGCAGTTCTTAAATTATGGCTCAGCCAAAGGAAACTACAAAGTCAGCCTGACAGGAAGAGTAAATTACATTGCTGCTGTCAGCATCTTACTTCTTGAGTGGTGTTGCCAGGAGTCAGCCATGGCAAGGAATTACCGGCCTACCGCATGTCAGTGCAGGTGCTGCAATAACTTTGTTAGCTAGGTGTCTCATTAAGAAAGAAAACTCTGAATATGCAATATACGCAATGAAAGGAGAACTGTGATATCTAAGGAAGTGCACCAAGGTATTCCTGTAGTGCCTTAGCCTATTTTAATTAGAGACATTAGCTACGTAAGATATCATGCTTTCCTTATAATATGCAATACCTTGGTCTATATAATCAATCCAATCAGACTCAATGTGCAAAAGGGAAAGAAAGTTTTCTAAAGATGCCCATCCTAACTGACCTTTGCCAAAACACAACTAAATATCAGAAGAGACTGCAAGTATGGATGGACACAACCTTCTTCTCTCCTGAGTTAATCTAATAATGCAAGTAAGAATTAAGTCATGTTTTACATGTTTTCATCATTTAATATAGTGTAGCATTAGCCTTCCATTAGGTTGACTTACTAAATCATTAGCTCAGAAGGAACCTGGAAGGAAGTTAAAGGCCTGTTTTTACCAAGAAACTGTACCAGAAAGATAAAGTTAAACACAGGCTGAAAACCTACCGTGAGTGTCTCTTCTGTACTTCTTTTTCTTTGTAGTGGAGCAACTGGAAATTCAAGAAGGGATTTTACTGTCTTCCTTTTGGCTTTTTCCATTTGAATATTAGTAAAATAGTTGACAGCAGCAAACTCAATAAGAGCAGAGAACACAAAGGCAAAGCAGACTGCTATGAACCAGTCCATGGCAGTAGCATAGGATACTTTTGGTAGTGAATGTCTTGCACTGATGCTCAGTGTCGTCATTGTCAACACTGTAGTTATTCCTTCAAAGAAATAAAGCAAAAGCATTGCTGAATATGAGTAAAACAAAGTGAGAATAGGCAAGCAATTTCAAACACTTTTAAATTGCTCAGAAATCTCTCTGCTGATGATGAATAGTTCATTAGATTTAAGTTATGGCAATAATCATATATCTATAAGCAGCTATGCATACAAAACAGTTAACCAGATTTTTAAAGGAGGCATGGAAAGCTGTGACATCAGCAGATTATCTACAGTTCAAATGAAGAAAACGTGGAAGCCTTCATTTCACATTCTTTTTGTGTCAAGTTCGGTATAAATTCTTATTCTTATCTCTTAAAACAAGTTATTTTATAAACATCTGAACATAATTTAAGTTGTTAAATCATGTCTGTGCTCCTCAGGCTGCAGCAAAACTATGATCTTTCCTGTAATGGGTTCAGAATGCCACCTATTAGTCTGTGTCTTTTCCTCTGATCTCATTTATAATCTAGGTGCCATTAAGTCATGGCAAATTATTTTGGTGCTAAGGAAAACTAGAATATTATGTTAGTAACTCTGTTCATTAAGAAAATATCACCTTATTTTTTAAACCCTTCTGCTACTACTCAACCAATGAAATTTAATTAGAATTTAATCTTCCAAAAAGAAGAACTTTTTAATTAAAATATACAGGCATGAACACTGAACTCAAAATATGCCCACTTCATGGGAATACTTCAAGTGCAAATAACATGCTGTATAAAACCAAGGTATGGGGTGGGATTTTTTTTCCTTTTTCATCCAAATTATCCCGTATCATGCAAACATAATACCAAGAATATAGTGAACACTGCATAAGTCCTACCATGATAATGGCAAGACTGACTACAAATGGAGATGTCTTTACTCTTATGAAAAGCATACTGTATCCATTTTAATTCAAGATGAAATGCATATGCTCAGAAGAATTAAAAGTAATTACGAGCATAGTTTCCAACAGGATCTTCACATACCCTATTCCTTAAGCAGTGGTATTGCATATGGATAATCTAGTATGAAAAAGTTTCACCTAGACACTGCCATACAGAGAACTGGACACAAAAAAACCCAGTCCTTCCTACTGAAGAAGAAAAAAAAAGGGAAAAAGTAATAGCCAGTTTGTGAAAGCACAAAGAATAACTCGGAGCAAACTCAGCGGGATAGAAACACAGATGCAAGCTCACAAAACCTTCTTCAGTGGGAAGGTGTTGAAAAACACATCACTAAAAATATTTAAGTCTGAGTTAAAAAAAAAAATAAATATGGAAAGTTATTTTTTTTTCCTGGAAGAGACCCATTCCTGATTAGCCCTATCCTTACTCTCCTACCTTTGTCCACTAAGGAAACAGCTTGTCTGAATAGTTTTTTTTAAAGACATTTGTTTAATAGATGTAATAGGATGAAGTGACTTGAATGGACAACCATTCCCCAAATAGAAGGAGAAGCAGGCAGGCCATAACAGTATCACAGTTTATTGCCATATTCTTTATCAGTCGATGATTAAATCATTCTTCTGGGAGACTTACAGTTGCCACTGCAATTGCTCTTTAATATGTGCCACAGGGTTTTACAGGGTAGGAAATCGGTTCTGGTAAAAAAAATATTACATATACACACGAACTGCAAATATTCAGAGCTAAATACTTGCAAGCTTCTGCAATGTCCGATGGAAAGATCTTTTTTTGGATAGCCTCTTCTCACAGTTCCACTAGAAAGCTGGTACTATAGCAGGTGTTCTCGCTTCATTCCTATCTCTTGCCTATCTTTTCTTCTAAGAAAACCTTTAGAAAACAAAGTCCCTGTTGGAATTTATCAGAAAACTCAAAAGATACTTTTTAGCCATACTTTAAGCCATTTGCTTTCAAAGGCATTTTAGAGAATTATCTGTAACTTAGTGGATGTCCAAACATCATTATTTGTTTCCAGTGTGACATATGTATATAATGATACTTATTACATCTATTGCTCTATAATTTGTACATTTTCAATTATCACATTTTGTCTGTAAATACAGATGCTACCTTTCCAGTTCATAGGAATACTCCCTTCAAAAAAAGTTCCATTATTCAACATCCCTGCAAGGGCATGTGAAGTGATATACTACTTTGACTAATGTAATGCTCAAGTTCTGAGCTAGTATGGTTCTTATTAGGTTTGCAGGTTATTTCTCCTATAACTAATCATTAACCTTGTTAATTTGTGATACTGAGCAGTGTTCTGACTCCACTTATGTTGTTTGAGCTGGCTGTCACGTAGAAACATTAATTCCCATCATTCCTGCCAGCATCTATCTATCTATAGAAAGGCTTTTTGTAGAACATTCTCTTCCTGATTAGTCCTGTTTTAGGCTACAGTACATTATAAAGTCAAGACATTGCTCTATAAAGACTCCTTTTAAAAATGTTTTTATCCTACTTCATTGTTAGGAATCGTATTTCCATTTAATGTCTTCTGCTTTGTCTTCCATCGAAGCTTTTTTGTTTTCATTTTCAGAGTCACTGTACCATCTCATTCAAGATGTATTTTGAGGAAGGCAATTTTAATATCTTGCTATCATTTTGCTTTTTGAATTCATTTTTATAACAGCAATGGCAAAAAGGAGAGAAAAGCATTAAACACAAAATTACAGGAACAGGATCTAAGCCTTACTGATAGCAAGCTTTCACTAATGACACAGATATAAGACGACATCGATACATCTCACACACTCCCAATCAAATTGTTTTAAAATAAGTAATTACACTACTGTCCACTAAAGGATAAAATTGTTCTGGATGTGGATTAAGGACTTGACCGTATTACTCAGGTCTTCCCAGTTTTCTGGGATTCTACCCAAGCAGGTAGAATCCCCCGAGATACATAGCCATTTGCCACAGGCAACCATGACACCCTTCAGGTTATACATTCCAAGTTTCTCTTCAAATTCCAAGGATTCACAGAGCAACATTCTTCATACATTGACAGCAAAAATTTCTCTGAATTTATATGATTCCCTTGTTTCTGTACTAGTATGGAGGCAGTATACCCCAATGCACTAAAAAGGCCTATTCTAGTGAAAGTCAATAAAGCAGTACAAGAAAAAGGAAAAAAGAAATAATTACCAAACACAGTTCTAGCTGGAACAGATTCCTTATTTATCCAAAATGAAACTTGAGAAAGGATCACGGTCATAATACATGGGATATAGGTCTGAATCATAAAATAACCCATTTTTCGTCTGAGGTGGAAGTAAACTGTCATAACAACATATTCACCTAGAAAAAATATGTAAGTAAAAGAAAATATTTTTCTGACTGTGCCAAAAATTTGTGTTCAGAATAACTGTTTCAGATTATCAACTAGTATTGTTTAAGCTGATGCTATTCATACCATAGAAAGATATGTTCCTTAAAGTCAAGAATGAAAGTTTTAAACAAATACCCTAGAAGCAGTAGATCCTAGCAGTGGCATTCAGAAACTGATATCCAAAATACTATAAATGTACAGCTAATATTGGATTACATTTTATAGTATTAGCATGATTTTAAAAATTCTCTTAGCAGCTGTGCATGAAAAGAGCCCAAAGACACAAGCTACCTACCCACCATCGTATCCCTAACATTGTGGTACCTATCTGCCAAATAAACAACAACGATACACATTAAATGTTATGGAAGCATCTCAGCTTTTTACTAGTTTTATATGTCAGCACCACTATGGTAACGAAACAAATGCAAAAATCACTAATAAGAATTAAAAATACTGTACCTTTATCTAAAATGTTAACATTCGTATTAAACAAAAAAATAATTGCTGATTCATCGTAAACTGAACAAACTGTCTAAATAAAGCACTACAGAATGAGAATTTTGGGAACAGTAAGGAAATTCTGTGGTTAACTCATAATAATCAATATGCTGAGAAGTAAACCGCTAGTGTATTGCAAAATGCTGTTTTATCTTTGAGAAAAACATCCATAGAGCAATACATCAAATATATTTGTTTTATCTGCTTCATTTTGACTATCTCACAACACCCAAACTTGCTGATGCTTAGTAAATTATTCCAAATTTTAAAAACATTTTGCTAATATGCTTGTTTATCACCATACTGCTCATCAGTGATACTTCGCTCATTTCAGATGCCTGTAGTTGCCGTTTGCTTTACTTCTTACAGCACAAATCAGCAGAAGTATCTATTGTGACTAATGCATTTCTGCCTATCCTTATCTGACTAGAGGGTTTTTATGGCTTTAATAATCCATTCTGTATGCTTGCACCACCAAACAAAGGAAGTCTTTTGCACATAATGTGGATACATTACTGAGAAATTACTTCCTCACCCAGGCATCCTCTTGACTCTTTGAACTGCATTTTAAGCAGTGATTAAACGCTTATTTTGTCTCTTAGAGTAATGATCTCATTCTAGCTTTCTGAAAGACCATAGCAATCTACTGTAATGAATCCGCAAACAATCCGAAGGACAGAAACCTAATTCAGATTTATGTCCTCAGCCCTTCATCTATACCCTATGACATTCAGTAGAACACCTTACAAGAAGGAAAGAAAGAGATTTTGGGCAATGTTACAGGGTTAGTTTTACCTCAAGTTGATTTTTACTGACGAGATTCCTACCTGTAATAGATTTAATGGTTTCAGTGGATACCGTATGCCCAAGAAGGTCATACTGAACTAAACTGGAAGACTCCTCAGGAACTTCCACTGACTTCTCAGGTCCTTTTGTCCAGGTATAAATCATTTCACTCTTTGGATAAGCATCTACAACACATCATCAGTTTGTGTAAATAGGAAACTTCTTCTCACACCTTACGAAAAGCCCAATCCAAACCTACTGAAACAGTAAGACTCTCACTAACAACTTAAGAATATACCCTTCATATTAAGTTAGCCCCAAAAGCCACTCTCAGAGGAGAATAAATAGCAGCTAAAGTCATACATCAAGTGTTACACACAAATTCACTGTGAATGTGAAGTCTAAACATGAGCTCTTTATGGATTGGCCCTTATTGGGCATGTAAAGTTTATCATTAAATTACTTTGAAATTTTTATCATTAAAATATACTAATTTATAAATAGAATATGTATAAGGAGGATACATTTTGGAGACTAGGTGCACATTTTTTACAGAAAAGAATGATTATACTAAAAACTATAGTATAATATATTATATACTAAAAAATACAATATACTAAAAACTTCAATATTTTAAACTTGTGTTTAAAATATTTGCCAGAACCGGAGGTCAGTAAAAAAATCACAATAGCCCAAAAATAAGCACAGCCAAAGAAACATTTTACATTTAATACAAAAGACACAACTTAGGGCTAGCATTCAATCCGTACACAGCTCAAACTCCTGTTACAATTAAGTTAAATCAGTCTTGCATTTGAAATGGCTACATCTTATTTCAAGTTTCACTGAGGAAAATTCAGGTTAGCGTCAAGCACAATTTCTGCTGGCTGGTGATTCTGCCTTAAGAAATATGCCTGTGGAGAAGCACCCACTACTGAAGCTCCCGTACAGAACAGCTGATACCAAGCCAGATCTGGCAGTGCCTAGTCCCCAGTCCCACCATAAAAGGGATGAAAAACCTTCTCAGAGCAGTGTCTTTAAAGCCCCCTTTTGACTGACTACCCAGCTGTGTAAGCTAAATTTATGCTAAGCAAATACTATGAGGAGCTTCCAGCCATTTCTAACCTCACCACTCTCGGGTCAAAGAAAACAGACTAATATCTAGGCACTGACCATGTAAAGCAGAGGTCCATGACTGAGGAGGCTTAGAAGAGTGACCAGATAGTTAATGTAGTGCACTAACCATCCCCAGTCTCAGAGGTCTCTGCTGTGAATTCAAATTGGGGAATCATAATTACCTTGGTTGTTAAGCAGTATGTCGCAAAATGTTCCTGCTAGTCAAAGTTTGGAGATTATCCAAAAATCTGCCTGTCTTCAAAGCAGAAAAGGGAAGTTACCTGCTCTAAGATTCTTCTCATCAGTCTAAAAATTATCTAGTCTAAACTTGCCATGCAGAATCCTGTTACAGGCCATGGGTAAAGATGAAATCTCTGCACATAACCTACATATCTACCATAGCATGTCAATGCACCTCCAATGCAGAGAAAATCAAATAAACTCCTTCCCTAGGTGCCTTTCACCGGGCTGTTGTAAACTGAGATGGATCCACCCTCTTTTTCTTCTCCAGAAATCTTACACTTCACTGAATATCTACCTAAGAACTGAGAACAACTAGGTATTTAAAGCAGCTGTGTAGCCAGAATAGTGGGGTAGTAGCTGAATCACAGCCCAGTTTTCAGTTCTCTGCCTGGATTTAATTTTTGAGGCCCTAAATAAAATTCCCAAGGAAGTTAACAGGAGTTTTGTCTGCATAAGGATTGTGTATCAATATTCAGAAAGTTTAGTAATTGCTCAAAATCTACTTCTACTATTTAAATTCTGTAGTTACAAGAAATTTCATAATTGCAACTTACAACTCCCAAATTTGAGAGGACAAGCATGACCATCCATGGGAAAATCCACTAATCTCATGGGACACTCTGCACTTATTGTAAGCCTATAATGGAACAAATTAAATAGTCTCTGGTTGCCATTTTGTCTAGGCAGCATAACTTTTGCATACAATAATTGTAAGAAGCCAAACAAAGAGATGAAATACCTCATTGTGTATAGGATGGTGCCATTTCTCATTATTCTGAAGAGTTTATTTGGGGCTGTCATATTATGTGCAACAGACTTTTTCCCATTCCTGAAGAAAGTGTCAGGAGTCCACACCTTCGAAACCATCAAGTTGTTAAGTCTTAAAATTTCAATAGGGCCATCATATTTTAATCTTTTGTCTACCCATGTCTGACGGAAGAAGACATCCATTGTATATTCCTGTATTAAATTTGCAGAAAAACAAAGATCACATTTGCTTGTGTTTCCTGTAAATAAAGAAATCCCTCAGAAGCAAAGAAATCAATAGTAAAGAAAACGCTAAGTCCACCATACAAACATATTTACAGCAATTAAGGTGTGATATGTACTCCTTAATAGCTTAATTTTACATATTAGTCATATCAATAAATTGCTACACATATTTAATCATTAGGGAATAATTTATCTAATTAGGTTACAGGAAGAGGGCAACTAAATTTGTAGTCAAGCATAATATAACCAGAAACAAAATGATGTCTGACAATAAGTGTCAATAAATTCTTAAAGAAAAGGCATCCATGGATTTTCTGCTGCTGGCTAAATTACATGACAAACAATTACTTCCATTTTAAATTTAGGAAAGAAAATTTAATTTCAACTCATGGAAAGTAAGCTTTTAACTGAGGAAAGCTAAATATTTCCTTTGCCATGTTCATAAAACATGGATAATAAATCACATATACTCTTACATATATACACATTTGGTTTTAACTACGTAAGTATCCCAGTAAATTCCCCAGAAAAGCTCCAAAGAAAACATGCAAACAACTACAGAACTGCTGACACAGGCACATCATGGGAAATCATATGTGAATGAATGGACAAAGGAATGCATTTCTCACCTTGGGAAGCTAAAGCATGTCACAAAAAAAAAAGTCATCATGTGGCATAGAAAAACCTTTAACTCCTTTCTAACTTACAGCTGTGATTTTGGTGTTAAGCCAATGTTTTCCAACTTCATTTGAAAATCTTCTGCATGACGTTACCTTTGAAACTGCTTGTATGACCATATCTGTTCTCACCATCAAGGAGGAATGTCTACTAGTGTAGTGCACCTCAGAATTATGTCCGTCTTCCATGGTTGCATCCCCCACTTTGGTTTATACTTAATCTAAGAAAAGTCTTATCTACTTCTTGCTGGTGCAGCTCATAAGTAGCAGTTTCTGTTATTAGCTTCTACGTGACAGATTTTGTAATATAAGATTTTGTAATATTTAAACTGTTTTCATTACACTGGGTACCAAAGTAACCCAGCTCTAAAAAGACATTCTGATCACCCCCTGTACCAAGACTGCCACTCTTCACTATTTCAACAAGTTTCAAGAGTGCAGCCACATTCAGATCACATTGGGTCACTAATGGGTACATTAACTAAATTACTCTATGATTCTATGATTCCAAAGCCAGTTCCTGGATCCCTGACTAGCCTCGGCTGTAAACTTGCCTTTTGCCACCTTCTTACCTACCTTCAGTCCATGTTCTCACTCCTGCCTTCTCCAATAGAACTAATAATTTCCCATGCAGTACCATGTCAAATACTTCAATAAAACCTGAGATACTGTGCAGCCCCCATTTTAGATTTGAGGCACACATTACTGAATTTCTCTGGGACCAGATTCTTGTACCCTTGTCACACTGAACAGTATCATACTGTACATTACAACCACTGAAGTAGTAGATGGATTTCAATGTGAGACTTCTGTCATGAATGTAGCCCTTGGAAAAAAAACTCTTGCTATCACATATCTTTCCACATGATAGCACCAAATCAGGTGCACCACAAAGTGCATGACAGTACTGCATGGCAAGAAAAGTTACTGCCTCAAAACTGCCTTTCCCCTAAAGAAGTTCTGTTCAGCAGATATGGCTATGTTACTTCCATGGGATTTCTTGGATACTCATAGAAAGAGAAACTACTGTATGATTTAAGATTATACCACTGGATTATGGAAGCCGATGAGCATTCTGCTGGATTTGACCTCAAATGAATGCAGATGCTATTCAGGCACAAAAAACAGTACATGCAAATGTAACATTTCTGTAACTATTTCATGCATGTCACTTTGATGTTTAATTTCTGCAGACATTTATGAAAACTCTTTATCAGTCAAACATTTGCTGAAAGTGATGCTAAAAGGGCACAAAGATCAGCAAAGAGTATTCATCTGAAATGAAAACATCAACAAGTATTTGTGAAATGATGTCATTATTATTCCCCTGAGAATAATACAAGCTTCAGAAAGGAAAAGCAATTTCAAAGATATTACACATTTTCCCCACAGTAGACTGACTTAGATGCTCCCCATGAGGCCTGATTCTGCCTCTACACCAGTTTGTTTTAAATCCTATGATGTGAATTCCTTAAGCCAACCAAAACCCAGTGAAAGTGTGACCAGAATCAGGCCTGATGTATCTAATTATAACCTGTAAATTAAGCTGTTACTAATCTTGCCTACATTGCATGATTGACAGAACAGTACAGATGAAGCATCCCCCCCCCCCCCCCCCTTAGTGCAGTTAATGGTTTCTCAGAACCAGGAAATGGCATTTTAATCCCAGAAATACATACCATTTCTACATCAGAAACAGGTCCAAAACTGGTGACATATATATCTGTTTTGACTTCAGTAACAGGACCTAATGTATGAAAAGGAAGTGAGCAAGAAAATTTGAATTTTGCAGGTCAACAATCCCCATAAAGGATCCTGATGTGTGAACAGTTACTGCTTTGAGGGTTCTGTGGACAAGCAAGAGCAAAATGCAAACACAAGTCATTTCATCTAGTAACAAGCGCTGCTCAATTACCTTTACCACATAAGTAAATCAAAAGCAGAATTTCCATGCAAATCCCCATCCAGAAAACCAATGTTGACTCAACAGATAAGAAAACAGATGCCAAAGAATTAAAAGGCTCACTGAAAACACCACACTAATTAACCACAAGCACCAAATTCAGGAAATCCAGATTCTCAAAGGTATTTATTACTAACATTTGGTCCTACTGGTATTAATGGGACTACAGATATTAGCATGCCATGCACTGGGCAATTCAGTAATGCAGGATCAAGACTGGCACCCATATACTGAGATGTCCTTAACTGCTTTAACATTAACAATATAAATAAAAATTTGATATCTAAGCTTTTTTGGGGGTCTGAACCTAGGTGCATATGCTATTACAAAGCCTGTCATGAAAGAACTGGTAATCTCAGACACTGTTAAAAAGAGTGCTCCGAGCAGTGGCCTTGCACTTTCACAGCTGGATATGGCATGGCAACCATCAGAGAAAACAGATTCATTTTAATGTATCATTTTGTTTACTACAGGACAAAACACCTTGAAATTTCAGATGGACATTCACTCTACAGTCCCCCTTAAACCAAAGAACACATGCACTAACTAATTTCACTAGAATTTAGGTCTGTGCTGAATGTAAAAGGCTAGAAAGCTGCTAATCATTACCAGCTATTATGATAACTCTGCAATCAAAGCATTAGCTAATGGTTTAGTTCAGATAATTAACTCACATCATAAACATATCTGTTTGGGAAAAAAAAACAACCTGTGATATACAAATTCATAACCACAGTTTTGAAACCCCTACAGCTCTCTTCTACAGAGAATAATTGGCTTGAGTCTCCTAATTCAGGCATTATCATAGTATTTGCAGTCTAAAAATGAAAGGATGACTTAAGACTGTTAGCAGCTGTTTCTCTCTAAGAAAGAAAAAACAATATTAAAATAAAATACTGTTGACAGATGTCACCAAATCAAACAGTAAAGGAGAAAAAGAAATAAGCAACTGGAAAACAGGGAACCCATGGTTCTTGCACCTAGAACAAGTGTTAAACTGTGAAAAAAAGGTAAAATAAAGCCATATAAAATTATGTCAGTAAAAAGTTTGCAAGTTTCATAGAGAAGAACAACTATGAATTTTTAAGCTAAATGTCAAAAACCAACTTTGCTGGAAGTTAACAGCTTCACAGAAAGACATTTTTATGAGATAAAATCTGAAAGAAATTCACCCACAAGAGTTGATTGCTCAGTGGTACCTGGAAAGTCAGACAGTTTGGCATGACTGTCTTGAAGAGGCTTTAAGAAGAAACTCCCATGTTCCAGGTAACACCCTTTCATACTGTGCTGTTTGTTTTGCAATGGGTTGCTCTCTAAACATGTCAAACAGAAGCTGTGCTCCTTCTATAAGTAATGAAGTGTTCACTAGGTCAGGGAAATCCATGAGTGTTTAGACCACTCATTCTTCTGATAACATAGTCCAGTGACATCTCCTGAATACAATTATTTCTGGAGAGCAGAACTGCTTCAAGAGATTAGAAAAACTCGTACTAAAGCTGTCAAGATACCAAAAGTGAAGACATTCTTCTGTATCATTAGAAAATAGGCAAGAAAAGCCCAATCATACTTGTACATAGACAGAAAAGATCCAATCATATCTGACCTCCCATAATCACAAGACTGTAATTTATCTAGGGTTGGTTTAAATATATAAATATTAATTTCATCTGAACTTGAAATATTTATGAAATCAAAGTTCTAGAAAAACAAAAAAGTCATTTTCCCATGTAGCTCTAATAAGAAAATGCAGGAATATTGCACTCAGTTCCTGTATCCGTTTCAGAAACTGCTTTGTTAGTTCTAAGAAACTAAATATGAATATTCCTCAAACCTTTAACTGCTTTCCTCTGGCAATACCTTATTTTCTTTAGCTCAGAGAACACTGTGATGTTATAATCATATCAAATTAAGCAATGGGGCAGATTTTTCCCACAGGCATGAGCTGCCTCTCCTCAGGCCTTAATTTCTTTTGTTTTATTAAATGATTACAGCTTCATGAGTAATAAATGTTCAGAGGCTTTTGCAAGTTCATTTTTTTGGAGTTTCTCAGAAAGAAGGGGAGAGCTAAGATGAAGAAGTTAATTTCCAAACCAGCAAGTCAATAACTTAAATCTATCAGAAAGCCTGTAGCAGGAGCACAGGACTAAAACTGTGCTTGAGTTCATTCTTCAGTTAACTGCTATTCTGCTCTCAAACCTTTAGTTGTTTGTAGGTCCCATGAGAAAGAAGGAAGCAGGAAATCTCAGACAATAATGAAGCCACAAAATAAGGTGGAAATTAAAGTTTACTTCGGTTGCTTGCCTGACACGATGGCAGTATAGTGACAAAATGTTAAAATCACATTTTAGGCCTCTAGAAAATGGCAGATGAATGAGGATCTGGAAATATTTTGGGCATCGTAACAGTTATCCACCTAGTACTGATATGCAAATCCTCACTTTGCATTCAAAACCTTGGTCAAACAGTAAAATGGTTGGTACAAGCAAGGACAGCAGCAAGGGACAGTGAAGCTGATTATCTCCCTAATTCTTTTTCTTCAACTGCAGCCCAGTTGTGCTCCACATCTTCCACCTGCATTGTCAGTTCACACTGTTAAGGCCAAATCTTGTATTTTCTAGCACATCCCAGTACTTGATGCCAACCCAGGAGTACCTATGGCAACACCAAAACCTATCCCTTATCTTCTTTTTCTAGAAGAAAACATAATTCCAGTTGGTAACAATAGCGGGGGTACAAATAGTGAGTCATGCTTTTTGTTCTTTATCCTTTTTTAACTATTATTAATTGTGGGAATTCCTGTCAATGAGGGGGTGATCTGCAGTCACCTAACCTACTTTTACTGGTGATTTAAGCAGCCCTCCAAAAGGAATGTGTTGCACCACTTAATCAACCCAGGCTCTGCAAGCAGAAGAGCCTACTGGAATCCTTAACACTCTATTACCGGCAATAAAATGCAGTGAGTTGTAAGAAGGCCAATTAACTTTAAATATGACCATTTGGGCTTATCCCTCAATGGATGTTCAGAAAGTACCTATCAACCATAAATCTTCAGGAATGCTGAACAACTATTTATAACATACTGGTGTGTATTTTTATGTCAATGAAATAGGAGGAGAGTCCTACACACTGCAGTGGGAACAGTTAAGTCTGAATCACTGCTTGCAAGATAATACACTTTAAAGAACATCGGGCAGGATTAAAAGCAACCCCTGCAAAAAGCCGGAATAGTTCAGTGTTAGAGATGTTACACGTGGGCTGAAGAAGCGATGCCAGGCCCTAACCCTGTGAGGAGGTACCTAGGACAGCTCTCCAATTGATTTTATGCCAACATATGGGTTGAACTGCGGCACAGCTCCCAGTGAAAGACTTTGGGCTCCATTATCCCTGCGTCTCCATAGGCAACTGTCACTGCAGAAATCTCCACTGTATGTAAACAGTCAAATCCTGCACAGGCTTTCTCTATATTGCAAATTTTGCCATCAGGAGTCACAGAGCCAATCAGGAACATTAGCAAACAAGCCTATACAAAGCTTTCAACACATAAAGTATAAATTAAATGCTAAGTGCAGTTATTTCTGCTATTATGAGATCAGTCCCAGGATACATAAAATACATGAAATTATATTACACCAGTTCTTACAGCTACATCTAAAAAAAACCAAAAAAAGTATTTACTATAGATTTATTTTTTAAATATAACTACATGTGACAGATTTGGTGTTTCCTTCTTCCAAATTCTTGCTGCCTGGACAGGATCAATCTCTTTTTTCTTTTTCTTCTTTTTTTTTCATTTTTCTTTTCTTTCACTTAAAAAGCCATCATATGAAGTGTGTTCTCATTTCATTCTATCAGAAAGAACAGCTGAGGACACATACTATATGTAAGAGTTCTGTTAGGAAGTCAGATCAACTAGATAGGGCATTTTTAAAAAAATAATTCAAACATGTGGAATTCAAACATGTGGGCTACATTCTCTACCAAAAGACAAACACAGCAGCACAAAATTGCCTCTGTCTGTACATATGTTCATCCATCATCATGTATGAGCCCTGAAAATAAAAACCATACTTCTAGAAATGAGATTACTGTTCCTTTGCCTGCTCATCATCAATAATCTCTGCTAAGACAGCCAACAAACTTGATACTGGTGCCAGTTTTCATGATGTGGACACCTGTCTACTAAGAATTGAACTAAGAATATCACCAAGTTTTATATAGGTCACTGCACAACAGACAGATGGTAATGACTTCAAGCATTACTAACCTGGGCCAAATTCAAATCAGCCAACTACAGGTATCTAATACCATATCCTGTTAAGCCTGAGTCATCTACTCTCACCAGCTGAGGAAGACTGGACAACTGCCTGAAAAAAAGAAACAATCAGCTTCACTTTACAATGCTCACTTCAAGTCCATTTGTAATCTAAAAAAAAAAACCAAAATAAATGACAATATCTATTATGCTGAGCAATGGAACCTTGAAGGTCCACATGTATTGCTAATAAGAGCATAGAGTCACATAGATATTTTTATTTTCTCTAAAAACAGAAAATTGCCTTTGCTCTCCAAATTTATTCTGTGTTTATTTTCTGACTAAAGTCACTCCTCCTGCAGTGACAGGAAATGAAACTCTTCAAAAATTCTGTTCATCAGCTGAACGTCACACAGCCCAGAAGGGGCAGAGAAGTCCTCTCTTTCCGTTCTTAGGGGAGACGATGGGCAACATATCTAATTCTACCAAGTACTCAGCTGCACTTTCACAAGTACAAGATCATGAGAAAGAATATGAAAAGAGAAAGAAAAGAAGAAGAAAAATGAATTAACACAGTCCTGTTCCTTCTAACTCACAAGCCAGTGTGCGTGGCAATTTCCAAACAGAAAGCCATGGAGCTATCCCATTTCACTACCTGATAGTGAGACTTGCAGCTCATATCAGACTCTAGCTCACACAAATAAACAGAACTCAAGAGAGAGAGCTCCAGCTTTCACCAACTGATGGACAACCACACCACAAGCAGTAACATGCTGTGGGTGATACTGTCTGCTTCTTCAGAGCTGTCAGCAGGTTCTGCAGTCAACCTAAGAGTATTGGGCAGGAGGGCTGTCACACGCCACCTTCTTTTTTTTGGTCTGGCCATACAACTGGCCATTAAAAGCAAGATGCCAGAGATGAATTGTTCTCTAAAAGGCACAAGTCACTGAAATTAGTAGATACATGGCAGCACACGACGATGCTGCCCTCATCAGCTTCAGTCCCTCCATTCCTTCTTACTTCCCTAAGTGCAGGCTGAAGTGTGATGAGTTACTATATCATGAAATTTTCAAAGACACCATTACATTTTTTTCAAACTACAAAGCCATACAGGTTTGAATCACATCTCACAGGCCCTTCTTTATGTCATGAGCTAGCTGCTCATGTAAAGTCTAAAACCATGCAAGTGTTTAAAATGCCAAATCAGACCCAGGCCCTTTTACTTCAAGTAAATAATGCTAATTTTTATAAGTCTCTGGACTTCTACCATCAATTTGACACTAATCAGCAGTAGAACGGTAAAAATTTTCAGAGAAAATCCAGGTTTTTGCAACTTCCCATAGTTTTCCTTTGCGTCACACTCAAAATTTTTAAAGCAGATGAAAACTGGAGCCAAGGTATAACTAGAAATGCTTTTACTTCAAAGTTTTACAGCTGAATCAAAACAGCACTGCAGTAGCACTCTTGAAGTTTTCCAGCAGGTAATGCTTTTAGTTAATTACTGAATCATTTAGGTTGGGAAAAACCTTTTAAGATCATCCAGTCCAATTGTAAACCACTCTAAATCACACTACAAGTGGCTTGTAAACACCCCATTCTTATAAAGTGGTAAACCGACATGCATTATAAATTGCATTCTGAAATCCAGGATAAAGATATAACGGGGTATACAAGTGCAGGAAATGGAACCAACTTTATTTCCACCACACTAATTTTCAAATATCTTACATTATTACTTTATTCATTAGTCCCTAAATTCCTTCCCTCTACTGAAATTCAAAACTCTTATGCCTTTAAAGTCTTCCAGACAGCAGCAAAGTTGGTTGTTTGGGGTTTTATTTTTTCTTTCTTTCCTACAAGAAAATGTCTGTTCTGCTTCATTTCATCAAATTTCTAGGTGAAATCTCTTAGTTTCTTTCTTGCTTCTTTAGATTCCCTCTCCACCTGCCCAAACTTAAGGGGTCTTTAATATTCTTTTTCCTAAACCCTTCTGTATTTGTTTGTTAGACTACCAAAGCTGACAGTGCTTACTGAGTGTCAGCAAGTTCTTAGGTTTTCTTAAGTCCATTTAATAAAGTGAGTTTGTAATGCAATGTGTCAATCCAAGGACACAGAGAACTCCATTCTTCTATTAACCCTCAATATATGCCATGCTTCTGCATGAAAAGTACTAAGAGAAGCCTCCTCTGAGTTTCAAAACCCTCCTGAGAGGCCATTTCCATATTTGTAACCATGCTCAGGTGATTTAACTTCTCTTCAGTAACCACCCAAAATTGTGTTAATTCATGATCGCATGGTGAATTTGGATCCAGTTGCAGGAAAACTCCAAAATCTTCTAAAGTCTTCTACTTCACTCTGCATGCAAAAAACCTGCATGAATTATTATTTGTGGAAACTCTGTAAGATGCCAGCAAAATTCAGAATTTGGCTACTTCCCCACGTCTGATTTTAAACATCATTTGTGCCAGAATTGGAAATGTTTTCATTAATTTGAAGTTTAAAATCAGCATCAGTCAGACCTCTATGCAGCCTTTTGTTCTTAAAATAAAACCTTCATTTCACTCCGAGCCACGTGAAAACTAGATGGTGAATCAGCCTCAAGAATAAAACAAAAATAAATATTCTGCTGTTCATCAGAAAGTGATGCAGTTTTAACATTACCAAAACACACTTTACTTCCCACTGCTAAATATTTCCATCCCCTCTGACATTTTTTTTCCTATACTATAAACTAATGGGTGACCCACTTTTAAGATACAAGTCCCATTTGTCATTAAGATTTATCAGGAAAAAAAAAAAACAGGGAAAACTTGATTTGGATAGTGCATATTTTAATAAGTAATCCATAGTTATTACTTTGAGTTATGCCAAAAAATCAAATCTGACCAATTGCAGAAATGTCTTTCTTTGGTTGATTTTGGTTTGCTTTCTTTAAAAGTTGTTCTTGACAAATCAGATGAAGGTAACTTTTTGTGGTAAAGAGTTAGGGAGGCAAGCATCATTTCCAAAATAAAGCATTCCCCCCCCCCCCCCCCCCCCATGTTTTGCTTTTAAGTTATAAACTCAAAGATGAGTGGAAGAAGCAAGAAAAAAACAAAATATCAATTTTGTGAGATATTCACGCAGAACTGTTTTTCCCAGACTGAAATCTGATTTATTTTTTTCTTCCTCTACCATTTACTACAATACTCTCATTATGAAACTTCAAGGAGATATAATGAACTTTTCCTCCTTGTTAGCATTTTGCTGAAAGCCTGCAACACTTCTTGGGAAAAAGATCTTCTCTTGCAAAATATCCTGCAAAGAACAACTGTATTAAAATAAAAATTAACATAAACTGTAAATCATATTACATATTTAGTAGTTGTTTAATTTTGGAAATCTGATAATGCTCATAAAGCATCTTTGCTAGATGACTAATTAGTTGGCATTCAACCTAAAATAATGCCAAACATAGCACATCTCTTGTACGCTTGCAGAAGTGTCTGTAACCTCTTCACAGAGACTAAATTGCAAAAGGCTACCAGTTCCCAATGATTCCTCTGGGTGCTAATAAATTTAGCTTCCTTCTCACTTAAAGTGTTAGCTAACTTCTAGAAGGCCTCATTCATTCTATACACTCAAAATAATAAAGAAGGTGATCACCAATGTCAGGTGTTGTCCTTTAACAATCACGATCATGCATGCGAGAACTGTATATGGCATGGGGGAACGTGTTGGCACGCATGACAGTGTAGATGGATCACGTGTATGAAGAAGGTACTTTCAGAGGAGGAAGAAAGTATATAGCAGCATAAACCTACACAAGGATCTCATTCAGTCCTGCATAGGAAGCAGTCTATAAAACTATAAAACACTTCATGCATCGTAAGAAGGGCTGTAGCATTTGTTTAAATCTTAAAAAAACAAACAAACAAAAAAAAAAAACCTAAAAAAAAAAACCTTCCCCCCTAACCCACTTTTATTTCTGCATGTTTAATATCTCCATTACAGATTAGAAAATAAACTTTTATTTTGTCTAAATCTTAATGACTTCTAGTTTCAAGACCCTACATAGCAACATCAAACCCAATACAGAACTTCAAGTCTGGCTGCTTCTTCAGCAGCACAAAACTGCATCTTAACAGCCTGGGGCATGAAAGGGGCTCAATCCTCCTCCCCCACCCCCACCCCCCATGCAGAGCACAGCTAAAGGCAAACTCAAGACTCCTCCACTTCTAATACGGCAATTAAGTTTACTACTTCTAAATCAAAGAATCCGAGCAACTGCGGTAAAGATTGGTGTGCTCAAGCACCTTACTTCTGGTTTTCCCTAACTAGTGGTACAGAACCCACCAAAGACCTGACCTTTTAGGCTGATAAAAGTACATTTGTTTCTACTAGGACCCGGCCCGTGGCATTCAGGGGTCAAAACTGCCAAGAACCAGAAGAATTGGGATGTTAGACAGGTCCCCTCCACCTCCATCAAGCCAACGCGCACCGGCTCCAGAGCTTTCCTCCCTCCCCGCCAGCGCGGCAGCTGTAGCCTCCTGAGCCCGGGCTGTGGGCAGCACAGCGGAGCGGGGGCTGAGCCCGGGACCGCCCCTGCTCGGCCCCCACAGCCGGAGCTGCTCAGCCTCCCCCCGCGGCGCCCTCGGGACCAGGAGCTGCCCCGCTGCCGGCCCTTCCCTGCCCGCAGGCTGAGACCCGGGAAGCGGAGAACGGGACTTGGGCGACTGGGGCGACGACACACACGTTTTCGGTCGGCAATGGATCGGTACGAGCGGCGAGTGCTGCACCCCCCGACCCTGCCAGGCGCACCCCCCTTCTCCGCCGGCACCGCACCGCCACCGTACCCCCGAATCCCGGTCGCAGCCGGTTGTCATAGCCATCCAGGAGGCTGTTCAGGATGCTGGTGAAATTTTCCGGCCACAATTTCTCCTCTTTTTTGATCTGCCCTGGCGGCCCGGTGAGACTGCGAGGCAAAGAGGGAGCGGATGAGCGGAGCAGTCGGGACCCCCAGTACCGGCCGCCCCGGCCCCCCCCCGCCGCTGCCCGAGGTACTCACCACGTCGCCAGGCACAGGTAGTGCAGGAGGGCGATGGAGAGACCCGAGGACATGGCGATGGCTGGCTCCTTGGCAGAAACCATCTTTGCATGCCATACTTCACGCCTGGGCACATTAAACGCCTTGTCCGGGGCGGGGAAGGGGACGCGGGGGCCCGGTGGGAGTGGGCGGTGGCAGCCCCCGGCGGCCCTACATGCGCGGCGCCCCGGTTGCCAGGCGCCCGGCACGGGCGGAGGAGAGGCGCGTTCCCCCGCTCCGTTAACTCTCTCGGGGCAACAGGCGCCCGTCCCCCCCGCACCCGCCGGCTCCGCTCCGCTCCGCCCCGCCCGCGGCCCAGCGCTCCGCCCCGTGGCGGAGGGCGCCCTTCGGGGCGCAAGACCCGCCCGTCCGGGGGACAGCACCAGGGAGGGGGCGCGATTGGTGCCCCAGCGAGAGGGGTTCGGAGCAGGAGGGTCCCTGTGCTTCGGTGTGAGAGGAGCTGCGGGCAGAGGGAGGGGACAGGGAAAAGAGAGGAGAGTAAGAGGGAGAGGAGAAGGGAGAGGAAAGGGAGAGGGAAAGGGAAAGGTAGAAAAGAGGAAAAGGAGAGGGAAAGAACAGGGAGAAGAGAGGGGAAGAAAAGGAAGGGGGAGGGAGAGGAGAGAAGAGAGAGGAGAGGGAGAGAGAGAGAGAGGGAAAGAAGAAGAGAGAGAGGACAGGGAGAAGAGACGATAGAGGGGAGGGGAGGAGAGGGGAAGGGAGAGAAAAGGAAGAGGAGAGGGAGGGGGGATGAGAGGAGGAGGGAGGGAAGAGGGAAAGGATTTGAAGAGGGGAGAGGGAGCTCCAACTTCAAGGTTAAAACAACGCACCCAAAATGGATGGGAATGAGTAGGTTATCCCAGGTTTCTAAAAGCTAAAATGCCAGAATAAGGGAATGGTTTCACATTATATATCTTCTATTTTTCCTTTTCCCCCCATTTTCATTCCTATAATTAGGAAACAAGATTTGGTGACCCAAATAATTTCCATTATGCAAGGTCCAAGGGAATCTGCAACAGTTAACAGTAGTGTTCCTAGTCTGTCACAGGCTGTTGGGATGGTTGGGTGGAGCAGGGAAGAGAAGGGAAAAGGAGGAGAAGGGGGGGCATCCCACATACTATAGGTATTAGCAGTAAACAACTTATTCTTCTGATTGAGAGTGCTGTAGGTACAGTTGTTTAGGGTTGGAAATTAAATGTGCACATCAGTTTTAATGAGGATGGTGAAGTTCATCGTGCAGGAACACATACAGCCGGTATTGTAATTGACTCCAAGAGTACAGTACTGTCAGTGCTGACACAGAAGGGCTTTATTCATCACTTGCTACAGTATCTTCAAGCATGAAAATGCCTGATTATTTCCAAAACTACTATACACTTGAAATCTTCCTAATTGTACTTCAGAGCTTGTTCCAGCTAGGGTGACCTTTGCTGATTCCTTTGAAAAACAATTAAAGCTGTGCTTGAAATCCATAAACAGCTGATGCTGTTTATCTTTCGAAAACTCTGTCTATGCAGTAAGTTCTGCATCCAATTTTAAAAGCCCTATTAAGGCCTCTGCAGATTACTAGTCTGCTTCCTGAGGTTTTGACAGAATCCTCATCTCCCAGCTGCCTTACTAGAATGATAAATGCTCTGCTAAAACCTCCTGGAGCAGGCAGTCTGTCTACGGACAGCATCCACAGTCCATGCACTATTTGCAAGCCTGCACAACGCAGACAGAAGGACGTCACACCAAGGTCACTTCAGCTTTTGTGATAAGGCTCTGTGAGCAGCCTCTTTAACTCCACACACAGGTGAAAACCGAGACACCACTGCCCTGGCTCCATTAGCAGTCTGATCAGGAGCAAAAGAAGGATGGATCAGCAGCTCTTCAGGAGTCTAATTTACCACATCAGATAAGTTTGCCTGGGTTAATCAGCCACTTTTGATCTTCTATAACATGATGTAATTAGTTTTTCTGGACCAGTCTTCTGCTATAGCATGGATTATGCCAACACAATACTGTCCTCCAGTTCTAAGAACCTCTAGTTCTTCTGTCCCTTTCAAGAAAAAGAGTAATCCCTTGTTGCAGAACATTGAAAATATTTCTAAGTGAGGTTATCTGATCTAGGGATACCTCAGAAAAGTTTTGCTGGCAGAAGTGAAACTCACATAACTAAAGCAAGGGGAATAAATGGCAAGTGAGAACTGGGAAGAATCCTGCTGGCTACTCACAGACACAGAGCAAACTGTGGTTCTACAGAACTGCAGCTTCTGACAGCTGCTGTGGAAGAAGGCCAACAGCACTCTGGCAGAGCCAGGGACACCTTTCAGTGTAGGTTGTTTTGTTACCTTCTGCATATGTATAGATACCTGCACACACTGAAATAGAAAAGTCGGGGGGTGTTCACCAGTAATGATCTCCCCACATGAATGTCCTGTGTGTTATTACTTGAGTCCCTCTCAAATCCATGCCTGGAGTCAGAAGGAACATGGATGTCATAGGCCCATTAGTTCTGCTACGGGTAGAAATCAGATAAACTCAGTTAGCCCCCTTCCAGCAATTTTAGGAACTGAGCTGGTGCTTGAACAATTCCTGGATTCTTTAGAACAATAATATTATTGATACCTCTTGTCTCTTCAGTGCAGGTACATCAGTAAAGGTAACATCAGGATACCTAAGATGTTTGTGTTGTTTTTTATAAGTAGACATAGTGCCCCTCTGTCACACCCTCCCTGATGTAGGTTGTATTGGTGTAGGGTCCAGGTTCCATCTGTGTGCATTTACTCCCTACAAGTGCTAAAACTGAGTGAGAAACCACTTTTTCTAAATCTAGAAAATGAATTCGAACACTTCGCAAAATTATCAGTGGTTAATATCTCCCTTAGATCCAGCAGTGACTATCAAGAACGCTGTAAGATTAATACCAAAATCAGAGATTATCATCCTGAAAAACTGTGTCATTTGTATATTGCTCAAACTTTTACAAAACTAAGCTTGAAGGAAACATAAACCAGTTCAAAAAAAACAGTTACAGTCCTGAAAGCCAGATATATCACCTCTGACTACTTGTTTATACTTTCTGACATGTGCATTGCTCTGGCTAATTTCAACATTTTTTTGAATTACATCTTAAGATATTCTGCTTCTTTTGTAATGTATTTATAGCATGGACATATACAGAAACTCCCAGGGTGCTTCTGTGTCACCAGCAGATACATGCTGATTTTAAATATACTGCTTCATTGGCCTTTGATCACTTCAAAGAATTTATGGGTTATAACATATCTCTAAAAGAGCCTGATGACTCTAAGAGGGATTTAGTGGTCATGGGCTGGATTGATAGTCCCTAAAAATGTTTGCTGAATTCAGCAGTTTCTCAGCTTCTCCAGCTTTTACCACCAATTCTTTCAAGATTTCGCTGAAGAAATCTCACCCATTGTGTACTATTGTAAGAAGGGAACTATTTTTGCCCAGCTCCATATGCTCAGAAAACACTTGAATACCTTAAATAGATTTTCTAATTTTTTTTTTTTTTTTTTACTGCCCCTATGCTGGTGTATCCTCCTAATGATTTTTGATGAAGCAGACATTCTGGCCATGCCTCAAAAGCAGTTTTATCCAAAGCTATGGATTTTCAAGGATAGCTGGATCTTTTTTATTTATCACAACACACAAAGAAGCACAATTTTTTTTCCATCATTCTTCCCATTTCCACTTTACCATCAGATTCAGGCAAAAGAAGAAGGAAGTTGGTACTTTTCTTGTGGAAGGCATTATCTAACTTTTCCATTTTTTTTTTTTTGTAAACTGTAGTGTCCACCACCATTACAGTTTATATGGGTAAATTACATGTTACATCCTTTTCTCCAGCACATTTCATTATTCAGCTGATTTTCAACCAAGTTACTACTAGCACCAAATTCGTGAAGTCAGACAAGCTCATATGGAAAAGACTGGGAAAATCTTTAATGCCCAACTACATATTGCATAGTTAAAAGCCTCTAACACTTAGAAAAGAGGAGATAAAACTGGGGTCACTGCCAAGCATCTAATAATGTTTCTTTATGTGACTAGCTAAGTCATTGATTTCTTGGACTCTTTACGGTTTCTGCCCATATGAACAGAATTTCTTGGAGTCCTGATCAGATGGCTTGTCTTCACATACATCCTTTTTAAAGGTCAGGGGTTGAATATTCATTCTTTGGAAAATGTATACCTCAATCCTATTTTGGGTAGATGACCAAGAAAATATATGAATACCTTTTTTGAACAGCTAAATAGAAGGTCTTTCACTCCCTTCCTTGCAGCCCCTCAAGGGTGCAAGGGGTCTTTTGTGCCCTTCCTGCATCCACACACAATAAAGAATAGTGGGAACCTATTAAAAACACACCGCACCTGCCATTGGCTTTATCAAAACTTTGATCTGGAGCTCAGAAAAAGCCTAAACTTCTGAAGAGGTTTGCATCAGTGAGGACGCCAGGATACTGTGGGCCTTGACTGAACCTCTAGCAACATGCTTATGTTTAAGGAGTATAGATTTTGATCTACTGTTTGCAGTCTCTCTGGGAGCAGTAAGATAAATGCTTAAGCTCTTTCTGACTCTTCTTCCAGTGCAGCTTTCCCCTCCTGCTGTAGTTCCAGTAGTTTTCTTCCCAGCTTCTTATTTCAGTATCTGATTACAAAGTTGTTACCTCCAGGATCCAATTGCATTCACTGAAACAAATATGTTACCGGACACACTTCCTTCTTTCAAAAGCTTACAGACTAGATAGATAGACTAAGTATTGAATGCAAGAATAGTACTATTATTTCTGGTTTGCTGGGAACTCAGGCAAAAAGCTGAAGTGGCAATATGACACCATAACACCATGTAAGAAATTTACAGCCCAACAGGAGCTTAATTCCAGGCTGCCTGTTTCCCAGATCAGTTCTCTAATCACCCCCTTAGCTGTCAGTTCAAACCTCAGCATAAGCTCTGTGTAAAACTGAACCTTCAGCTGGCCCAGCTTTGCTTCACTTCCATGTCTGGAACTCCTACGAAACTGCAGGAACTGAAGCTGACATGCATTTAGCCGTGTATTTTTTCCTCTGACATATGGTATTTACAAGACTGTCCTACAGTACCATGGTTATTTTAACACACATGTCATTTGTTGCTTGAAATAAGACTAGAAAATCCTTTGAGTACCAAATATATATACATGCACACACATACATATTGCTATTAACTGATTGCAATAGGATTCATGTGGATTCTTACAGTGATTGACACATGGATGTGTAAGGAGGTAAACTGTGAGCTTCATATTTAAGGGGCCCTCGACACACTGCAAC